CCGGGTGCTCCGGTTTCCCCCTCAAGTCCAAAGGCATATGGCATAGTTGAATTGGATTAACTAAATTGTTCGTAGTGTGTGTGTGTGTGTGTGTGTATGGGTGTTTCCCAATACTGGGTTGCAGCTGGAAGGGCATCTGCTGCATGAAACAGAAGGAAAATGAAAGAATGAATTAAAATATTTTGTTTTACGATTTTTTAAATCTATGAGCTAGATGCTAATGGTCTAATCCAACTCAATGATTTATGCTAAGCTAAGCTAAAAGTGCTCCCGCCACACCGGTAGACCGGCTGAATGGAATAAAAAAATGGTAAAACTCAACTATTTAATTTTAATTACACACACACACACACAATATCAATCCCAAGCATCCACTCTCTGGGTCCTAGTGCCGTAAGACATTTGCTTTTTTGGAGCTGTTGTGTTACACTAACAAAACTGAAAGGACAAAATGTTATTTCTATCTGAGATCAAAGCATCACTTGGGGTCATAAAAACACAAGTCTGATTTTAATTCATTGTGAGAAGCTAACACTAATCAGGGAGTGAACATCTCAAACTAAGGGTTACAAGTGTATTATGTGTTTCTGCCACAGATGGGGAGAACAATTTGCAGATGCAGGCCAGCGAGTCCGACTATAACAGAGCCGTGCACAAGAGCGTTATTCAGGACAGCAGAGTCAAAGTGGGCCGAAACGCAGACCCCTCGGTTTGTGATGATTATGTTTCGCCACCGAAATACAAGAACAGCTTGCTGAACCGCTATCTGAATGATTCCCTTCGGCATGTAATGGCCTCTGATAAAGTTATGGACTCTCGGAAGAGGAACCATTCGGGATCGTTTAGCTCCAACGAGTATGAGGATGATTTTCTCTCGCCCTCTTCAGAAGCTGAGGCAAACTTCACCTACCACACAGGTAAGAGTTACCATAAACTGTCACATTTACAAAATTAGGAGGGTTGTCAATACACTGAAAAATATGTGTTTTCTGCTTATTTATGGCTGCATTATGGGATGTTGATCTCTGCTTTGTCGACTTTGATGTTGAAAATTCAACTCTTCAGTTTAACAAAGTGACTTTTATTGACATTTTAGTAGTGTAAAATAATGTAATGTATAAGAAATGATATCTATATATAGAGAAATAAGTCTGTAAAATAAATAATACTGGCAGTTTATTACCACACTGCAAAAAATGCTTTTCTTACTAAGGGTGCTTTCACACCTACACTTTTGTTTCGGAACGTGTCTCGTTTGCCCAGTTAGCGTGGTTCGTTTGGCATATGTAAACAGGGCAATCGCGCTCGGTTCCGCGCCAAAGTAATCGCTCCAAGATCGCTTGAATGAGGTGGTATCGGCTCGATTGAAACGAACCCTGGAGCGGTTCGATTGCAGTGAGAAAGCGACCCAATCCGAGCGCGGTTATATTACAGTGTTTTATGGATATGTAATAGGCTTACGGCTATATGAAGAGAGAATTATGAGCAGGGCAGGAAGTTTCGCGAGTCTCTGGATGCCCGCAAACGAGTGATGATCTCCCAGTAATCTCCCGTCTCCCTCCCGGTCCTCAAATAGGCATCGTCGCGCACCCTTCTCACCCCTCCCCACCGCATCTCTCCTCAGACACGTCGCGCGCGCACCCTGTCAATCACCACTAAACCACCACCTCTCCTGACAGCTTACAGTGGGACGCTGCAAAATAAACCCTGACACTCTGACCAATGTGAGGAGAGTTTACTCGCACGTGACTTGTTTTAGCTCTTTTGGTCCGATTAGAAGCTTTGCATTGTGAAAGCGAACCGCTCCAAGAGCAAAGAGCAACAATATAACAATTGTAATCTCTGTTTCGGAACAACTGAATCGATTCACAGGTGTGAAAGCACCCTTAGATTTTTTGTCTTGTTTCGAGTCCAAATATCTAAAAATTCTCAAATCAAGGAGCATTTTCTAGACAAGCAAAACATATTGTCTTGTTTTGAGAAATAATATGCCAATATCAAGTAAAACAAGCAAAACAATCTGCCAATGGGTTAAGAAAAATAATCTTGTTTTTCCTTTTGACATAAGATTATTTTGCTTACCCCATTGGCATTATTTTTTTGAATCCCATTAGAATCAACAATTAAAGTGAATATAGAGCTGTGGTTTCGTAGGGTTTGATTGGTGAGTGGAACGTTCCTGGACTCGGAGCTTATAGGAACACCTGCTGATGCCTCATGAAAGCAAATACTTCAGCCTTGCCAAAGGAGTCGAGTCTAATTCATCATTAACATAATTCCACCTCCACATTTCAAAATGTTCTCCTTCTCTGTTTACTTTGCTTCAGTGCCCTTTTGGAACGGTCTCGTTTTGGGAAAATCAAGGAATGCTCTGCTTCTTTCGTTTATGATGAAGTATTGCATGAGCGCATAAAAAACATGCAGGTGTTTGTGATGGAAATAAGAAAACAAGTACAATATCAGCTGCACTTATGACCTGTTATAAAGCACAGATTTATGATAATGACATGTTATATAGTGTTAATGCGAGGTTCACACATCACACATGACAAAAATTAATATTATTAGCATTCAGGGTGTCACGATCCTCCAAATCCTCGATTCGATTACATTTTTGATTCTAAAGGCACGATTCGATTAGATTTTCGATTATGAATAATTAATTAATTAATGACCAATTAATTATTTGTAGCCTACCGTTTAAACTACCTGACCTGCATGGTCTTTGTTTTACCCATAAACAAATCATACAGTAAATGAATAAAGGCAAGATACACACATAATTACCACCTGTCAATCACTTTTTCTGCGGGACTCGTGAATAGGCAGTGATCTGTGTCGTTATAATGGCGTCGGTAAAAAAGACGCACAACCAACAGGAACCAGCCAACAGTATCTGAGGTGTTCGCTAAAATGACTAAGTACAAGTGAGTGAAAGATTGAAGCAGTCCTCTGACTGCCTGGACCTGCTGTCTCGAGCGCATGGCTGTGAGTGCGTCTGTGTCTGTGTGGTCACGTGATGTGCATTTTCAGTGGTAGAGAGGAAGGAGGGCTGCTCAGAAATGCTACACGCCACTGTGGATGTCAAATCGTTGTCGTTCTAAAATGCCATTTAAAAACAAAGACAGTGTAAACAGGGCCTGAGTGTGTACTTTTCGCGAGCGGATTTGCAACGGGGGTGGGAGGAGGATCGCGATGCCGGTGTTGTCTATCGAATGAACCGTACGTAATACGTACATAGCAGAGCTTGCAAAACTGTGTTTTTTTTATGGTCGACAACACGAACGTTGTCAACATAACTCACTGGAAATCCAAAATGCTTACACACCGCCGACTTCATTGAAAGAGGAGAGGGTTTAAGTTCTGTCGACGGGTCTCCTGCTTCTGCAGTTTAACAAGCACTTCAACAAGCCTGTTTTTTTCCCGCTTGGCAAGCCAAGCTAACGTGACATGGGGGCCTGGCAGCATCGACGATTCTATTTTGTGCTTCGATAATCGAAATTGAGCATAAATTTCGATCGATTTCGATTAAAAATCGATTAAAAATCGATTAAAAATCGAAATCGTGACACCCCTAATTAGCATTGTCATCATATAAATGTATCAAATGCTTAAACTTTTTTTCTTCAACGTAGGCGTGTCATGACTGTCAAATATTCTTGTACGATATATTTCACCAAAATATATTGCAATAAATGATATTATTGTCATTTTATGCCAGAATGACAAAATAACAGCATCACAATGCAAATACACTCGTTCACAGAACACATAATATTTTATTCTATTTAATTTAATTATAGTCATTTAAACAATTTAATAATTAGTCACTGGAATCAACGCCATTGGCCAACAAAAAGTTGCTCTAAAGTCCCACCCAGAAAGTGTTAGTTATGCACCTATGCAGGTCTAAATGCTTACACATTGCTTAATAACTTTTATCAATTGACTTCTATAGTAGGAAAAATAAATACTATGAAAGCCAATAGCCCATTCACACAATAATACCAGTGAATATCTTTAAAAATACTGGAATGTCTTTATCTGTAAATTAAAAAATGCAGTAGTTAAACCACACAAATGTTTCCGGAAAATCACTAGTAATTACTTTAAATGGATCATGTGTGAATTGTTAATTGAATTACTAATATTGGTAAATTATTTCTGGCAATTTTCCATTTTCTGTATTTCTAAAAAGGCCCATTTCTCACATTCACACCTGATCTCTTTAAAGTAATTCTGACCACACAAGTGTTTCTGGAAAATTGCCAGTAAATTACTGTAAATAGATTGTGTGTGATTTGGCTCTTTTAAAAAAAATACCGGTAAATGTGTTTTGGCAATTTTGATAATGAAGTTGTAGCATTATCGGTAAATTCCTGAAATTCTGCTCTGTGTGAACTTTGGGAATTTACCGGTAATGTTACTTTCCCTGAAAATACCAGAATGACTTTACCGGCAAATAAACAAAATGCAGTAGTCAGACCACACAGATGTTTCTGTAAAATTTCCAGTAAATTACCATAAATCGATAAAGTGTAAATTGGCCCTTTTTAAAAAATACCAGTAACCTTGTTCTGGCAATTTTCCGTAAAGAGAAGTAGTAAAGTTGCTGTTAAATTCACGATATTTTGCTCTGTGTGAGCATTCCGTAAAAATACCAGAATGACTTTACCAGTAAATTACCCGTTAATGGATCTTGCTCTGGCAATTATCCATGAAGAAAATTTGTAACATTAGCATTAATTTCTCCAATTACCCAATAAAAAGGGCCAGTTCACACATTGGGCTCTATTTTAACGTTCTAGGCGCAAAGTCTAAAGCTTATGGCACAAAAGCATTAAGGGTGTGTCCGAATCCACTTTTGCTATTTCTTAAGTTATGGGTGTGTTTTTTGAGCATAACATGCATTAAACCAATCAGATTCCCTTTAAAAGTCAGTTGCGTCACTCCATGACACATTTGATATTTAGTTGGCAGACTTTGTAAGTGAAAAAAATAAACGCTTCACTAGCGAGAAAACAGTTAAACATCTGCAGCATGCTCAATTTGGCCTCTTTACTTTTCTATACTCTTTATTTACTCCTTTACTTTCGTGGATGAGGAAACGGTGGAAACTCACTCCACTAAAGACACTCATTAGCCTACATATTAATTTTGTTTGTTAAGCGCAAAGATTTGTTTCAAAACTATTTCTAATAGAATTAATTCTAATTCTAAAACTATGTTCTAATTTCCAGCAACTTAATAAATGAACAATAATAATGAAGTGTGGTCAGAAAACTGAGTTCTATCCAAACACACGTACTGTTCTTATGCCCCATATGGTGATGCTGACGTCTCCAAACCCGACAGTTGGACACATCTAAACGAGTTTTTATTAAAACAAATATAAATATGCATATAAATAATAAAACAGCTAATAATAACAAACATTTTACTAATGCAAATTGTCATGAATAAACTAAAAGAAAGAAGGCACCAATCTGACACTAAGAAGGCATGGAGGCAGTGGTTTTTGTATACATTCATTCATTTTCTTGTCGACTTAGTCCCTTTATTAATCCGGGGTCGCCACAGCAGAATGAACCACCAACTTATCCAGCAAGCTTTTACGCAGTGGATGCCCTTCCAGCCGCAACTCATCTCTGGGAAACATCCACACACACATTCACACACACACACTACGGACAATTTAGCCTACCCAATTCACCTGCATGTCTTTGGACTGTGGGTAAACCGGAGCACCCGGAGGAAACCCACGCGAAGGCAGGGAGAACATGCAAACTCCACACAGAAACGCCAACTGAGCCGAGGTTCGAACCAGCGACCCAGCGACCTTCTTGCTGTGAGGCGACAGCACTACCTACTGCGACACTGCCTCGCTGGTTTTTGTATTCATGTAAAAAATAATCAT